TCAACAAAGTAAGTAAGAGAACTTTGAATAGAACTCTCATCACAAAATGCATGCATTATGAACTCTTACATTTGAAAATTTCTGTAAATTTAAATGTTTCTGAAAGGAGAGAAATCTATCAGTTTTCTATTTCCCATTAAAGACTCTCATTCTAGACACACCTGCTGAATTACTTGCAAGAAGTGATTCTCCCAGAATCTCCAAGTGTTCACCAACCTGGAAGTTCTCCGAATCTGTGTTTTTTGGTTTTTATGGAGGCTTCATTACCTAGGCGCAATTGATTAAATCATTAGTTCTGGGCAACAATTCAACCTTCAGCCCCTCTCCCCTTCCTAGATGTCAGGAGTTGGTACTGAAATTTCCAACCTTATAGTCACAAGTTTGGTTCTCTTGGCAACAAGCAACAAGTCCCATCTTCAGGTGAGGTCCAAAAGTTACCTCATTAACAAAACAAAAGACTTTTTTAAAAAAGATTTTATTTATTTGAGAGGAGGGAGAGACAGAGCATGAGATGGGGGAAGGACAGAGGGAGAAGCAGACTCCCCGTGGAGCAGGGAGCCTGATGTGGGGCTCCATCCCAGGACCCTGGGATCATGACTTGAGCAGAGTCAGAGGCTTAACTAACTGAGCCACCCAGGTGCCCCCAAACAGAACACATTTTAATGCTCTAGTCACTTAGGAAATTTTGGTGGTTTTAGGAGCCTCTGTGCCAGGAACAAGGACAAAGATGAAATACATATTTCTTATAAATCACAATATCATAATACTTAAAATTGTTGACTTTTACTGTATGTAAATTTTACCTCAATAAAGGGAGATATTAAAGGGAAAAGGCCCTTTCCTCCAGGGTTCCTGACTGGATTTATATGAATCAATAGACCAAAATAGCTGGTCTTACAGATCTTAGAGGCGAAGTGATTCAAAAAGAGCCACTCTGTCAGAATTAAGCCTCAGGAATGTGTCACTTCTTGCAAGTAATTCAGCAGGTGTGTCTAGAATGAGCGTCTTTAATGGGAAATAGAAAACTGATAGATTTCTCTCCTTTCAGAAACATTTAAATTTACAGAAATTTTCAAATGTAAGAGTTCATAATGCTTGTATTTTGTGATGAGAGTTCTATTCAAAGTTCTCTCACTTTGTTGATAGTGCTTACCAACATTACTCTCTATAGAGTCAGTGAAATCAAAGGAATTCTTAAACATGTTCTCCTTCCCAAAACAAGGAGAGAGAATTCTTTCATTCATTTATTCATCCAGTGAATACTTGTTGAGTACTTCCTCTGTGCTAGGCAATATGTTCTGCAGTGGAGACAAAAAGTAAGTAAATGAATGAATGAATGAATGAGTGAGTGAATGAATGAATGAATAAGGTGTGGTCTGTACCCTCTGGAAAGTGCTGTCTGCGCTGGGTTTCCTAGGGTCACAATTCAGAGCATTCAGCTCCTGGGGTTTGCCATTGTCACTTAAAGACTTGCCAGAAAGACTGAGGATCATGATAATAAAAAATATTTTTAATTGAAAGCTCTTTAAAGATTTTATTTATTTATTTATTTATTTGAGAGAGAGAGAGAATGAGAGATAGAGAGCACGAGAGGGAAGAGGGTCAGAAGGAGAAGCAGACTCCCTGCTGAGCAGGGAGCCCGATGCGGGACTCGATCCCGGGACTCCAGGATCATGACCTGAGCCGAAGGCAGTCGCTCAACTGACTGAGCCACCCAGGTGCCCTTGAAAACTCTTTAAATCCCCAAATGCTGCAATTTTTCAAGTGGGAAGGACAATCTCTCCCAGTCATAGAAAAGGAAACGAGGGCCTAAGGATAAGAAGGTCCCATTCCATGGTTAGATAATGAGTGAGCTGAGACGCTGTCGTCTGATTCTTGTTGAATATTCCAGAGGTCCCTGAGGTCATCTTCACTGTCTCCTCTCATCACTGACTGTACAGCAGCCTGTTACTACGTTATGCCTTCTTCTTGGAGAAATGCCTACTTACTTTTGCAATTTGAACGCACACACCATAGGTCATTTCTACTCTGTCAAAGATATTATAATGAATGCTTTTTCAGCAAAGAAATATTTTGTATGGAATCCCCCTTCAATACAAATACTGCTTTTGAAACAATTCCTCTGCTTTTGAAACAATTCCTTTTCATTTGTTGAATGATTCTGAAAAAAGTGATCTGTTTTTTGAGGGAAATAGGGACTTTTCCCCAAACATTTTCAGCAATTATTCTGATGGTAAAGCATTTTCTGGCAAAGTAGGAGGAAGCAGATAGGTTTTCAAGTGTGAAATAGAAAAGCAGCTGTAGTTATGCAAAGGTTTGGTTGTTTTTAATTGTTGAGTTGGTAGGGGTTCTTGGGTGGCTCAGTCCTTAAGTGTCTGCCTTCATCTCAGGTCATGATCTCGGAGTCCTGGGATCAAGCCCCGCATCGGCCTCCCTGCTCAGCAGGAAGCCTGCTTCTCCCTCTCCCACTCCCTCTGCTTGTGTTCCTGCTCTCACTATCTCACTCTCTCTGTTAAATAAGTAAATAAAATCTTTAAAAAAAAATTGTTGAGTTGGTTCATAGTATTGCACTAAAAAGCTTTATCTTCTCAGAAAAATAAATCAGTGCAATCTTATGGTATTCTTGGACCGAACTTTCATTTGTCATTTATTCAGTGCCACCTATGTGCCAAACCCTGTGTGAGGCAGGGCTGTCAACAAAACTCTTATGAGGATGGCTATGTTCTGTCTGCATTGTCTAAATATAGGAGTCATTAGCCACATTTGAAATATGGCTAAAAACTGAATTTTAATTTAACTTTAATTCATTTAAATTTAAATGGCTACATGTGGCTAGTAGTTCTCAAATTGGACAGGATATGTATGAGGAATAAGTAATATGAAGTGTCTCAATATGTACAATGTGGTTATGGTGTATTGGGCTAGATGTAGATGTAGGATCTTTTCCAGTGATATCTGTCCACAAGTGTACCAAATCTGTCAGAATCATCACCTTCAATGAATCTACAATGAAAATGATTAAGTCTGTATCTGGAGGTACAATGAATAATGTGCATACTTAAATGTCCATGTAAATGTCCATGTAAATATATGTGCACACATATTTACAGTGAGAAAATAAAGTGCTAAGCCTCTTTCAAGCTAAGAAGCATAAGAGGATGGTAGAATAAGGCTCTGCCTCAGGTTCAACTGAGGTGTCAGTGCAATAGATATCAAAGGCTTTGGAAGTGAATGTGAGACAAACCTCTACCCCATGTGCAGATTTTTAAGGAAATGGTCCTGAGACCCTGTTCCACAATACTGGGTCCTACAGTCAGATCAAAGCTATAAAAAGAAGAGTATGAGGTCGGTGGGAGCCTAACTCTACTCCTCATTAGAGGGAGGTAGGAGGTGCTACTCTCTAATTCTAAGCCTAGTGAAGGGACTTTTAGAGGGCCCTTGGAGATATTTGAAATTGTTCCCTGTAGCTGGAAAATACTGAGAATGGTGGTCTAACTCATGTCCCACAAAACTAATGGAGACTGCGGCTTCCCGGGAAACTCAGTGTGGGAGACTGTTGACCACGCTTTGGGGGCAGGGCCAGAGAGCTCCTGCTGTGTGGTTGGGATTAGCCTGCAGTTCCAGAATTAGTGAAGCCAGGGACATGTGAGTGTTTCTTGTGGACCAGGTGTGGATCACATGCAAGAGAGTGGGCCTTGGGTCCGCCCTCTTGGGGTATATCCAACAGGGTGGGCTGGAGAGAGACTCAGCGGGAACAGGAGGTGTCCCGCTGGGGTACCCAGGGCTGAATAACAGGAAAGGGGACCTCGCCCACCCTCTTCCCCACTGCACACTTCCAGATAAGCAGAGAAGATTTAATGCTAGGTCAACGTTTTTTAAGCCACTTTCCTTTATTTAGGTACCTTCTTGCAATTACAAGAGGTGAGACTAGTCTTCGTGACATAAAACTGTAACACAAACATGCTATAAGCACTATGGAGGTGGCCACGTGGACTTCTACCTCTAGGTAGACCTGGCACGAGTTGAAGGGACTGGTGAAGCGCCCTTGACTTGCAATAGACCTTCCACAGGGTGGTTTTTAGATCTCCCTCTCCCTTCGCCAGAGGAGGGCGCCTTTTCAGGTCCTGCCTTTGCCGCACACCACAGAGGGCAAGAGGAAAAAGCACGGGACTTTGGCACTTTCGATTGAAAAGGCAGTTTTTAAAGTGAGCTTCCCCCTTGCAGGCACATTCAGTGTGGGATAGTCCCGAGACTAGACTGCCGGGTCGAGTGAGCGCCTGTCTTCCCAGGCGAGACCCTCCCGAGGGGAATGGACCTCAAATGGCGCGGCGGGTGGGCAGGTCGCCGGAACTCCGGCGGCGGCTAGTGGCCCTAGGAGCCCCCGCAGAAGCAAACAAACCACAACCCTGACCTGAGGGGCCTCCCCCTCCGCACCCCCTGCCGCCCAGGACCCTGGGGGCGGGGGCGCGTAGGCGCGTGTCCCCGCCGGCGCGCGGCCCGGCGCTCTTCCTCCTCGCCGAGCCTTCACCCGGCCCTTCCAGAGAGGAAACACCCTGGAAAGCGTCTCTCACTTTCCTCAGGGTGGGAAAACTGGCAGGGAAGAAGACAAAGCAACAGGCACGGTTCCGCACTCCGGCTGGAAGCCGGGCGGAGGGCGAGCCCGTGACACCTAGCGACTGCTGAAGGCCCAGGGCACCGCCCCCGCTCGCCCTTGGGGCACCGCCCCCTCCACCTCCCCTCCCACCCCCTCCCATCCCCTCCCATCCCCTCCCACCCTCGGGAAGTTACCCCTTCCCGCTCTCCCGCCCCTCCCCGCCCCCCGGGCTCCTGCCCCGCCCACCGCCTCCAGCCGCAGCCTGCTGTCGGACCTTCTCAGGGGGCCTCGGGGGCGGGCGGGCGAACCGCCTCTGCAGCCTCCGCCAGGGTGCGCACCGCCGCCGCCGCCGCCACCGCGGGGCTGCTAGTCCGCCGCCACTCGCCAGTCCCGGGAGCCCAACAAAGAGCGCGCGGCAGCGGCCGCCCGCCTGCAGTCGCGCCCGAGGCTCCCTGGCCCGGGAGCGCCCGGCGACAATTTCGGCGCGGGCGATGGAAGATGGAAGGAAGAAATGCCGCGGTGAGGCTCGAGAACCGCCGGGGGCTGAAGGGCGTGTGGGGTCGCTCGCGTTGCTTACCGTCCGATCGGGGATTTGATTTGCTTTGTCGCTCCTTAGTCCCCCTGGGTCCCTGGGCCACTTGTGTTTGTGCCTTGATGTCAGATTCTGGTAACTGTTTTCCTTTTTGCTCTTCCTTTGTGTGTGTTAGGAGCCCAGAAGGGTCAACTTTGCGGTGCTAAGGGGTTTTAATTCAACCCTCCGCTTTGAAAACCTGCCTTGGAAAAAAAGCCCGAGTACTCGTACTTGCTTAATGATCAAAAGAAGGAAAGCATTAAAGAGGACTTAATGTGCCAATTTTTACTCTGCCCAAGTCAGCTCTTGTATTTAGGGGCTATCGCGTTTCTCTTTCAGAAAGAAACAACAACAACAACAAGCCCCAAAACAAATTTGCATTGAGCCAGCAAACAGGGGAAGATTATTTGGTCTAATATTCTCAGTAGCTTTTAAAGACGTTTCATTCTGTTTTACATGCATTTAACTTTTATCTGCTGTTTTCAGCTGTAAGTTCTAGCAAATGATGTTCTGAGATTTAAAAAAAATGCGGGTTAACACTTAAGAGAACGTGGGTTTAGAATGTTGTCCTTGACTTAAATAATAAATGGTTAGTTTTACCCGTCCCCTCGAGGTTAAAGGATGTTAAACACCCAGTAGGCAGAAGATGTAAAGGGCATTACGATTTTATTTTATAGAAACTGGTTTTCCTGACAGTGGGATGCAGGATTTCCACACCAGAGTAACTCTTCAGTGGGTCCAGGTGTTGGTGTAGGGAAAAGGCAGATCTTGAAAATTGCACTCAGTGGGATTCTGAGAACAAATGCTTTGTTTCATTAACTATAATTCAATACATACAAAGGATTTTGCAAAGCCCAATAGCCAGGTAAGTAAGACAGAATTTCAGCTGTCAAGGAGCTGCTTTCTAGTAGGGGAGACTTATGCATAGGTTACATGGAGGAACCCAGAGGGAGGAGAGCTTCTGACCTAAGGGCTTGGAAGTCCTCTGAGAGGAGCTAGCTGTTGAGCTGGACCTTGAAGTGGGCAGGGTTTGTCTGTCTTTTTGTGTGGGGGGGAAAGATGTTCCTTGCTGAAGGAAGAGAAATGCACTTTCTATCCTATTCCAAGAAATGCTTTACCATCCTTTCTTTTCTTAGAGTATTTACAAATCAGGAGATTTTTTTTAAGTCATTAAATTCCTCTTCACTTGAAAATGCAACATGCTCAACAGAACCAGCAAAACAATACAGAATAAATTAACACCTTCCCAACCGATTTTTAGTGGCTTGATGCATGTCTTTCTAACAACTTTCTTACATCCATTCACAGATCATATCACAAATATATGATTCGTCTTGCCAGATACTTTATTAACATATGCTTTTTATACTAAAAGGAGCAGAGTGGTACCATGGAAAGCACTTGGGTGGAACACTTGGCTTGTAGGTTTTGTCACTGAGTTTTTGCTGTTGTATTGGCAAATCATTTTAACCTCTAGCTAAAATTTCTTCCTTTGTAGGTTGAGGGGATTGGGAAGATGCTTTCTCAGAGCCATCTAGCATTTTATGGTAACATGCTTAAACATGTATATGCATTACTTATTTAGTGATGTAGTCTTAACTTCACATTCTGACTATCTCGAATTTGTTTGTGAACGGATCATTGCTCTTATCCTATCCTGGCCATTGAAAGTGGGAGAGCGATTAAAGCTGCAAAGCTAAAATAACACCTTATTTAAAGGTGAAATTCCACAGTTGAATGTTATTTTTAAAAATGCAAGCATAAGAAGCTTGATTTGCAAATCTCAATTTGTGTTAGTTTTAAAAAAATTTTGTTGACACTCTTCATTTGTGAACAAAGAATAATGCATTACTATGTACATTGTACTTAAAAGGTACAATTTTGCTTTTAATTAAATAGTTTCAGTTAAAAAATGGGATGGGATTAAAAAAATGGGATACTAGGAAATCCTTTTAGGCTAGTAAATCTTGGGAATTTGGAAATAAAAATAAAATAAGACAGAAAATCAGTTCATTGAAAAAGGAAAATTCAGAGATACTTTCCATAAATGGCTCTATTCACTTTTTTAAAAAACTTGGTATTATTTGTTTGCTAATCCTGGTGGAAAGTATGAATGGGATTTAGTCTGACATTACATTAAAAACAACAACAACATGTCCAAGGCGTTACTACTTTCAGAGGTGATTTTTTTTTTTTTCCTTTAGAAACTGTGGAGTCATCTGTCCTGCCTTATTCATAAACATGCTATTGTGGTAATAGGTTAATCTCAGTCATGGTTAAGCTGAGGCAAAAACCATGTGAACATTAAAATGTGTGTGTGCTTTGGCCTCCAGATTGGTTTGTTTGAGGTTTACCTGAGGTATCTTGTCATATGGCAGTTATGAAAAGAGCATTTCTTTGGGCTTGGGTTGGATTAGGAGGTGAGTAATGGATGGTGATCCTTTCCAATTTTTAGAAATGAATTCAGACATTGAAGTTTAGGCAGTCTGTGAAAAATAATCTGGCGATCAGTAGGTGACCAAAGTCCACTTACCTCAGGATATGAGTCAGGCTCCCAGAAGGCTGCGGATCTAGTCTAGCTTTAAATCACTGTTGTTTTGTGGATTCTCAACAGTTAGGGATTCTTCCCCTGTAGTCTGGGCCAAACACAGAAGTCCTTAGTTTCCCTTTGTTGAGAGTGGAGGTGATTTATCTTGAATAACTGCCTTTTAGTTCTTTCTGAATTCTTTTACAGTTAAACCAGCCTAACCTTATGTTAGAGGAGTGCAGGATCCAGATGAATTTCTCCAGAGCATTTGTTCAGAGTGTCTTGTGTCTGGACAGTTTGTGTTGTTTGTGATATTGCAGACTCAGAGGCTTGCTGGAAAGAATTTTAGTGGTGACATTTTGAGAGTGTGTCCCTTTGTACTTTTCCTGTGTTTCGGAGTTACAAGACCATCTTCCAAAGACATTTTTCACATGCTGCAGATTAGTGTTAGTTGAGTGGCTACAGTGGCAATGTCAATCACTGTTGCAGTTTACAGTGGAGAAAAAAAGATAGTTTGCAGCATATAGTTAACAAGTTATTCTTAAATCCAGATCGCTGGATTTCCATGCCTCCTTTGAAAAGAAGGGGTAACACATAACCATAATGAATCTTTGCTTGTGCTATCTTATTTATATAAAAATAGCACATGTCCCTGCAGTCCTTGTTTTTCACTGGACCCAGAAGGTCAACAAACTGGGGCCCGGTTGGTGCCTAATCGGCAGGGACTTTGTTGACAATCCGGGACACAGAGGTGGTGAAACATTTTTTCTCTCGAGCATACTTGTGGTGTGAGGGAGTCACTAGCTCCTCGCCCCTTCTTTCATGTGAGTGCCAGGCCCTGGCTAGGGCCCGCCACTCATTTCTTGGGGCTTGCTTAACTTTGAACAGCCATCTAATATGAAACTCCCTTTTCCTTGGCCACAAATCAGTGATATGAGTCAGAATAATTGTACATGTTGATGGATGGTTTTCAAGTTTATTCTTGGAGTTAGGGATTTAGAGTAAGTGGAAAAGTAAGCATTTTGACCTGAGCCTGGGGCTCTTTTCTTACACAGTATTTTTATGTGGGTTGTCTGAGCAGCAACGTTTTCCTTTAAATTTCATCTTAAGTCCTAACTTCTGGAAAATGCTTATTTTAAGCATTTTAGAAAAGCTAATTTAAGTTTTCAGGAGATGCATTTTTACCATCATAGCTAATACTGATTGAGATCTTACTGTGTGCTTTGGCAGATTACCTCCTTGAGTCCCCATGACAACCCCATGAGGTCAGTACTGTCATTATCTCCATTCTGAAGTCTGGAGAGGTTAAGTAACACAGCTAACAAGTGGCAGAATGAGGTTTAAATTCAACAGTCCAATTTTCTTAACTACTGTTCTGTTTTTATGTCCTCAAAGTTAGCATTGCGTTTTGCAGAAACTGAACTTTTTGGCTCTCATATCTAGATTCTGTATGTCTTAGGACCTGAAATGGGATGACAAATCAACAGCCATTATTTTATATATGTGTTGGCTTAAGTGGTAGGACCAGGATTGTAGTTTGGCTCAAGAGATGGAAATTGTGTAATTTTCTTTCAAAAACACTCTTAGTGTCTAAAGGGATCACTAAATAGATTATGTAAGGAGTTCTGTATAGTTATAAGCAATTCATTGGAATTCAAAATAAAGCAGATTTACAATTTGAAATTGAATGTAAGGCTCACCTATTTTAACTTATAATTATATCACCTCATAGAAGTAATCTAGACTTTTTTTTTTTTTTTTTAATAATTGTGGGTGTTGACACAGAGAAGGCTGCTTTTTTCTTCCCGTGAGCTGGGACTTCGGTTGTTGAGAAAAGGATCCTGAAACAATGAGGAGGAGGTGAATGAGCTGAGGGCATTAATAGAAAGATCAGGCAGCAACTGTTCCCTTTTCTCTTACCTTCTGTTCCCAGACTTGTGCTAAGAAAAAGTGAATTATAGAAATGGAGTAGCTTGGTTCTTTCTATGGCTTTCTGTAGTCTGGGGACAAGGCGAGTAGAAACATGTAAATAGAAGAAGCTGTAGTTTCTTTTGTTTGGACTTGAGGAGGTTATTGGTTAAGGGCCACTGGCACTGCTTTTCTCGGTATATGAAAACTTACACCCTTTTCTGAATTTTGATTTTTTTTTTTTTTTTGGTAATCCTTTCCAAGAAGTTATTTGATAGGCACAGTATAGATTCACTCATAGGACACTGGGGGAAAGGGAAATCTAGGTGTAACAGTGAGTGACATAGACAATGCAGTTAAATGATTGCTGCCTATGTGATTAATAATATTTTCTAACAAAATGATATTAGGAAGATACTGAGAAATGACAGCAGGCTGTGTGATCTTTCATAGCATCTTACCACCCTGATCTTTCCTTCATGTCTCTAAAAGCTACAAGTCGGAGTGTTTAAA